TACGACAAATGGGTTCTAATAATTAGCCCATCCACTGCGCCATTGCGTGATATGGTGAATTTACCATTGCCATAATAGGTCTTGGAACCCCTTCTTTATGGATCTTAGGGAAACCATACAGTCGAGGGATGGTGGACCCACATGGTTTCAGGCTCTCGTTTGCAGCATTGTCTATGTGCCCCTGAAACTTTAGCGCCTGTGATTTCACCCTCCACCTTTTCTGTCTCATCGTTTTCTTTGTTTCATCTAGAGAACATTTTTCATCCGAAACGATTTCAGAAAGCTTTTGAATATAATCATTTTTGTTCATAATAACCACTCCGGTGCCTCTTTCTGGTTTCAGCAGCATGATATCTTTGTTCTTTCTGAGTTCCCTCAAAGCGTTTATATGCTGACGTGTAAGCGGTCCGCGGTTGTGTATGTGAACCTTTCGGTACTTATAGCAGCTTGTCACGAGCAAACTTCTAAGCCTTTCCAAATCCTCGTCTGAATTAGGTATCAAATCCTTTGTTTGATCCATCAGGCTTTCGAATTGCACCTTCAAATCGATTCGGATAAGTGTCTTTGGGGGCAACAAAACTTCCATCCCAGTGATAAGACTTCCATTTCTATAGAGGACAGCTGCTTATCCGACAAATTGTGCACGAATCTCTCTGGTTTATTGGGAAAAGTGGACACCTGTGCAACCTTATGGGAATCCCGTAATAAACGTTCTTGAATAATCTGGACGCGACGCGTACAGATTTGACTTACGATTTTGTCGAATTCCATCGATCATTCTCCGGTAAATCGTCCATAAAATGCTGCCGTTACAGGATGTTCCGTTCAAATTCAGCAGTGTTAAATTTCAATCAATCACAAACGCTCAACAGACGCACACAAGCACAGACACACGCATACATTCCCATTACTCTCTGCCTCCGAATATTGACTTAACTTGAGCCAATGGCTATCATTGTGTAAGAATTTTTCCACTATATGGTCTGTATAGTTAGTGGGATGAGCTATGTGTTGGGGAGAAAGCTGTAGCTTGGATAGATGTCAGTGAAAATGAATACAGGAGAACCTGACATACATGATCGACGTTTTATTCCCCAGAGAGAAGAAGCTGAGACGGACGTTGACCGTTTATGCCCCCCTCCAATGTTTGACCTCATGACCACTTGAATTCAAATAAAACCTTCTTTGAATTATTTTAACTTATTTTCTGCCATATCAAGTAATATTTTTTGGTTTCTCTAAGTCTTATATAAATTTCGGTTATAGGCGCTTTTGTTTTACTTTGTGAACTTGACGGTATAACTATTTTGTACAAAATACCGAACCAAATTGAAGGTTTTGCTTGTATTGAGTATATTCAGGATAGGGGACTGCTTTCCCACAAAAGTGTTTTGTGTTTAGGTGCGGGCATATGAAGCACGTGCAGGAGTACCAACGGAGCAGAGATCTTTGTGTTCTGTGATGCTGCAGGCACAAGAATTACATCAATCCGTTTGGGAACATTTTTGCGATTTGGGTTGGGTCCAGTATCTTATCAGACATTTCCAGATAACATTTTAAAGTTTATGGAATATATATTAAAGGTTTTTTCTTGCGAAATGTTTGAACCTTTATTTTTGATATCATTTTTATCATGACTGCTTTTACTATTTTATCAATTTACTATTTTTTAAATGTTATCATTATTAACATGTTTATATTCATAGAACCTGTTTACAAGAACTTTTATTATACACTACTCATAAGTAGATAGTTTATAATTGCTGAATGTTACTAGGAGGCATAGACAGTCTACGTCTACGGAAGCTGTTTTGCTTTAGCTAAAGTGAAAAATCAATACATGCGAGAGTAGTACAGCGATGACGAGGAGTTAACATACAATTTGCGGAGCATCCCAGGAACTCTTAACACTATTCGATCATTGGGATGTGAAATCTTTTTATTGCTTATGGTACATCAGCATGTATGAGTACAACGAAACATCCAGACGGCTATGCTCAATAATATACAACCCTTACAACGAAATGGTAGCCGTTTGATTCACCTTTAAATTGATTTCATGTAAGTAGGAGACAACGCGTTTTATAGTTTGATTTACGGTTAGTCATGTTAAAATTACTTTGATGATTTTGAGGGCGTGAGCTCTTCATAAAGTGCATCATGAGAATGCATATATGCTCCATTCTTGTGGAGTATTTATTCATCAGAACAGAACATTCCATTTCCGATCTGTCAGAACAATTCACAGCTGACTTGAATGTTAGTCACGTGGTATTTTAGGATCAAGTGACTGTTGAACCGCTGCGTCCGTTTGAATGTTTACTGATCAATATTGTAGACGAACTGCTAACGGATCATGAGAGGATGAAGCTTATGACAACCACAAAGTTTAGATTGTTTAGAAAACCAATCTGTGCCGATTGGCAATATTCGCCCGACTTGTCATCAACTCAGAAACTGAATGTCTAAGTGGTTCACAAACTTCAACCTGCGCTTTCGCCGCAGCAACAATAAACGCACACAGGAATGTATCTCGAGTAAATCGCGTCCCTCTCAGTCTGTGTTGCAACCGCAATCGTTTCAAGTGGTGCAAAATGAAATCAATCAATTGGCAACCGACAGAAAAAGTCTCAGTCCTGACAAAAACCTTGGTGACGTATGTGTACAAAAAATCACGCCAGATACAAAAAAGCCTTACGGTGTTCCATTGCTGTTGACAGAGCAGCTCTATTCTGCCGGCAAGGAAGCTGAAAATGTAGGCAGTTTTACAGAACCCCCATCCTTGGATGCCAATCTGATGCATCTATCCGTTCCGCCAATCACAGACCATGCGACCGGCGTGACAGAAGAAATTAATGGGGGGAAGAATCAAAAGCGTCTAACTGGGTTTCGCAGGTGGTTTGCCGAGGCTAAGAAAAAATACCTGGTCGCTACTAGTGGGATTGTGGAGAGTTCGGAGCCCACGAAATCTGTGACAAATCGCGAAAGTTTTCCTGACCCAAAAGGTAGGTCAGAAACAAAAAAGTTCATGCGAGTAAAAGATGGGAACCCGATTGGTAATGTTCCAAAAAGGAAAAAAGAGAAAAAAGGTAAAAAAGAGAAGAAAGTGAAATCAAAAAAATCAAAAACGACAGAATATTCTGCTCATGACTCACAAATAAGCTATCACTTACCGGTGTATGGTGTGCTGGAAGAAAGCAATGTGCAAATACCGGAGGTATGCGAATCACAAAAACTCTCCGATGATGGAGATACAAATGCTGGAATTCTAATGCATAATGTGCCTCAATTGCATCGCTCCTCGGAAACGCTTGATCAGAGGACATTGATCAGTCAAGACTTGGTAGTAGATAAACAGAAAAAAACAAAATCTATTGCGAAGCATTCCAGTCCACTAATTCATCGGGACTCACGATTGGCAAAGATATCGGAAAGAAATGTTGGTGAACACAATCGTGGTCAGGTGCCCGATAAATTGTCAAAGAAAGATCAAGAATCTCAATACTCTCCACCAAAGCGAGACAAAGTGGCGAAAGTCGAGAGGTCTAATCCGACTACAAAATCCACAGACACAAAGCCGATGCATATCACTAAATCCTCTGACCATGTTGGTTTGAAAACCGAACAAGGTGGTGATAGTAAACTCAATATGTCTGTACCAAAGTCTCAAACTGGACAGTTTCGAGTGAATCCCAGCGAATCAGATAGCTCAATTGTTGTAGCAGAACCGCGGACCCCGGGAGCTATATACAAAACTCTTAGACGAAAATCAAAGAAAACCAAAAATACCTCAATCTTGGTTTCGATCTCTAGCAAACCCTGGTTTACAGCCTCTAGAAAGCGCAGGACGTGTTATTTGTCCAGTAAACTTATTGAATCCGAAGGATCAGGAAGTCTGGAGAGAACCGAAGGACGCCTCGATTCGCAACGGAAGGAGACTAGTGATGCAGCTTCTAGTGCGAGTGAAGATAGTAGTTGGTGTCGTCGTATCTGTGAACAAGATAAAAATCTAAGAAAAAATATCAGCAAACAAGCGACAGACAGTTCAACCCATCAGCAGGGACGTCGGAGCTCGCGCAGCGCCCATCGTAGCCGAAAGCAGAATGATTTAGTAAGAAAATCCAGTCAGTCGGGTCAAGGGACTCCAAAATCCTCACCCAAAGAGCGACTTAATATTTTGCTTCGACACGCGGATACGATGATAGAAGAACTGATAGATCGTCTAGCTTGGGATATGGCTGAAGCAATTGTGTCTCGAGCAAATTATGCGCGAACTTTGTCGTGTCGTTCTAATCAAGTCTCTGTGCTACGCATTCGTGCCTCTTCCTCTCATCGCAGAAATACAAGTGGGGACGGATCAGCGTGCAGTACACCTTATTTGCAAAGTCCTCCGAGAGAATCACCGTTAGTGGACTAACAGTTTTCGACAACACAAAACGGTCATAGTCAACGTCCTAAATGTGTCCCCTCTGTAAAGGGTCGCGTTCTAATCGACCCATTTTAGTTTTCAAAGGTCACTCGTTTTTAGTGTTTCAATTCTCGACACTCACTCATGTTGATTTTGGATAAACTGAAAGAATATCTAATTTATCAAAGTGGTTCCTGTTTTAGTAGCCAACATCGTCGTATCTTCTTCTTAAAAAGCAGAGCGAATTTAGGAAAGGACAAGACAGATTGAACACTACTCTGTGAAGTAGACTTTTGGCACTGGTCACGAGTGTGAAACATGGCTACTTTATGTGGATGGAAGGTGTTATTTATGGTATTTATTTATCTGTACGAAACCACTTCGGATGTAAAGACTGGTATGGGTATACAGACAAATAATCTACGATAAAATTAACGTGACTGATAGCAATTTTGTGCGCATGTGAAAAGATGCGAGAAATTCAGTCGATAAATCAGATGGTGGTATTCGACCATCATATAGCCTGGCTTGTTCGATATGATTCTTAAACACAACCAACTTAACTGTTTGTGGAATACTTCTGGATAATTTTATGTTGATGCCGGTTGACTGAATTGTAAACTTTCTGTTTCCTTCTACTGACTTATATTGTCTTTATCGTCTTTAGTGAAACAAATCAAACGTAGTCCTACCTGTACTTGAAGCAGGGGTTGCAAATTGGAGGCCAAAAAACCTAGATTGGGTGAAAGTTTTACCCAACGGGGTGCCGCAAAATCTGTATCTGTTTTGGATGGCTTCAATGTTGACGCAACGAGGCAGCATTCGAAAACAGAACCGTTCTAAGGAAAAAGCGGAAGTTGATATGTGACTGACGGATCAAATGAGATGACAGAAGAATCATTCTACCTATCAAGACTTTTCAATTAGTGATACGTTTGTAGTACGACTGACCATCGCTGTACTCAACACGATATAAGTTATTCTTAGACCGGAATCTTGCGGTTGTGCTAGCTTAAAAGGTTTATTCATGAATCTGATACAAAAAGTCTATGAATAATAATGTAATGCATGTATAAACCGTGTGTTTTGGTGATTTCAAAAAGGTTCATCGATTCTCACACTCACACGCGATAAGTTCCGAAATAACACAGTTTACCGTATGCACTGGGTTATAGCGATTTATCAGTTCTTTTTCAATAAATATGGAACATTGCTTATATGATCGACTGCAATGGAAAAGTTCAGTTTATCAGCACTTTGATATATGTTCTTCTGAACTGATCGCTCTAAATATAATTAGGCTATCACGGAAACTTTATGCCATAAACTTTCCAATTGGTTTTATTCTACTCCCTTTACCACTTGTATTTTATTCTTTTACTGACTGACACGACATTATTCTGCGATGCAAAAGATCACTTTCAAGCTTTTATGCAGAGCAAATCCTCTTCGCCCTTGAAAATGAACTCTTCTCCAGGGCCCATTTATGAACAGAAGCTTCTGAAGTTCAAATTTTGTCCTGTTCAAGTTGGCTAGTGGATTGTAGACCTGATGAGAGATTCGACTATCTAGAAATTTACAGGATGTCTCAGGTTCACGTTTTACGATGAACATGAGGTTGGGATGGCGATACTTCTGACGATACTTTCTTGCATGTGTTGCGGAAGTTCCTTGTCCTTGAGTGCAACAAATGTGTCATCAGCGTAACGCTTATAGAAAAGTGTCTTCTGTTTCTTCTATATGTCTCATAAATACATTAGCTAACAATGGTACGACGGTACGTATTAGGATCTCACGCGGGATTTTGGAGTTTTCGCAAATAGCGCAGTGCTTAAATCGTCTAAAACTACCGAGGATTTTAAGTATGGATTACTGAACCAGACGCATATTGGATTTCACTTCTGAATCATGTCTAAAAGACAATTCAAAAACAGTAAAACGACATTTACCATAAATCTTGTGAATATTGCGAATCACAGACAGAATGCATTGAGGTTAGTAATTATATGATCCACGATATTGAAATGTTACTTCGAAGGATGCTAGGAATACTCTTAAATGTAGTTAGTTAAGCTCTTTCGTTACTTCAGATACCACAGTGATATATATATATATCTATATATATATATATATACATATCAGATACTACCGAAATTCTTGCGTCAAAAATTTTATTGATTTTAATTGAATTAAAATGCCCTTTCAATGGATCAATCATCTGAATTTAACATATAATTTTCAATAACGTCTGACTGCTGTGATTTACGAGAAATCAAAGTCGCGGCAATTAGTTCTAGATGAGGAAATTAAGTAGTCCATTGCATGAGTATCATTCTAAAGGTAAACTGTGAATCAATAAGTCAAACACGATCTAAACTGCTTCACTACAACTTAAAACACAAACTGAATTTAGCCTTTGGTGCTCTGAATGAGAATAAATAAATGGGCATCGATAATTTCATCAATTGGTCGACTCTCCTACCTGCCCTACTGAGACCACATAGTTACCAATTGTCGGAGGCTATAGAGCCTTTTTGCAGAAGTTATTGGTAAACATTTGTGGTAATTCTTTGGTTTTCAACAAGTCTGAAGAACACAAAAGAACAAGCTTATATTGTGAATGCTTAGCTGAAAATTATCCACACACGGATTCTCATAGCAGCCTTTGGAATAACTGCTTTCGTGCCCTGAAAAATGTCTGTAAAATTATGTTCAACAAATAGACAAGAAAAGAATAAGACAATGCTGAAAAGCGTTCTATCTTGAAGATGATATCTGAATATGTCGTTCTAGGGTTCGGACTAAACATGCCATCCCACAGTAAAACATTGTGCACATCAAGCACTCGTTGATTATATTTATGTTTCCAATGACCAACGAGAGTTATTCTTGTGAGAAGCGACTACAAGCCCAATCCTTTTCAATTTTATTGGCTCCATGGACTGGTGTGCCAACGAAGTTTTCAACTTGCGACTGTGTTGTCAGATCTGATTATAGTGGTAAGATCAATGTGACCAGTTCATAGCAATCTAAGCAGTTTACGTAAGAATCGACAGTTACCCAATTGGAGCACGTTCGCGCTGTCCAATTAAAGGGAATTCCGCTGCATGCGATCTAACCATGCACCTTTTTTGTCCGCCTCGAGGCAGCAACTAGGACGAGTAGCAGATATTGTCCGACCGAATGCATACTGATTTTGAATTTGTGAAAATTTCTATCAACTGGCTGCTTTGGTCTGGGTATCCAAAAAATGATCACCAACTGTTCCCATTCACATGGAGATTGAATAATTGAAAATGACATCCGACCAAATCAAACGAGATTCATTTTTACTATTTTTTCTGATACCTCGAGGCATGTTTTTGTAAACAGGGTTAGGTTAAATTTTCTAAGATAAAGGTTTTCTGTCATAAAGGAAAGAGATCACATGATAAGCGTGGGTTTCGGCACGTGATGGTTAAACGCTTTTCTGATTATTTCAGAAATAGAAATTGTTCAGGGAAGTTGTTCATCATACCAGCTAAAGATAAGTCAAGCGATACATGGAGAGCTGTGTCTTTTTGCGGAAAGCACCGGATTCAGTGTCACGTTGAATTTTCCGAAAAATCCAAAAGTTTTGCCAACGTTTATCCTATGGATCCATCTCGCACATCTACCAGGAACAATTTGATTCATTTTTTGTCATACAAAAATGGGTTCATCTTTTCTTACTGGCATGATTTCTTTCGAATATGCCATTGTTCATTGTGATATTGGTGCATATCTGGTCCTTGATTTTCTGTAACTGTAATCACGAAAACAATTTTTCTAGAGTAGGTTGTTTGGATAAACCCATTCGATTGTTCAGAAGCATCAGGCATGCTCGACGGTCTTGCGTGTGTTGGTTTCGCCTTTTGATCAAGTAGCTCAGGACCAAGGGTCCGATTTCCCAACCCGAAGCTTCGCGGTTCCAGTTCTGACAAAGGCGGAGCAATTTTTCATTCAAAAGTACCAAATGGAAGAAATAATATCAAACCAGGTTAATGAATTTGGTTTATGTGGTGTTCAGTGGTAATTTTTAATCTGTTCACATAATCACCAACCTTTTCCGTCAACGGTACTCCTGGTAGGCATCAAACTCGACCTTGGATTTCATTAGATGTTATCATCACTATTGCCACCGGGGTTTGAACCCCAATCCCTCGCATGCAAGCTGCTGAATATTCATCTTTGAGTGCTATATATAAATATGTACCTCTGTAATCATGACCCGTGTTGTGTGATCGCCACAATGATGTCTCATAGATTCGCTTGCGATGTGTATGATATGGGTTATAGGCTACAGAAAGCAGTCCTTTAACAGGGACCAACTGGCAGTTATTATAAATGGTTCAGCCTTACATCCAGAAAATAAACAAATGACGTAATTTTTACTTGAAGAAGTACAAAACATTCCATTTCATAAGCACCAGTGATGTCACCTCGGCTGGTGAGGAAACGTTTGTAAACAAATTGCCAAGCATGGCGAACAGGAAAATAAAGGAATTCAGCTCACCCGAGCTACGAGAACCGCTTTTCAATACTTTGTAAACAGTATAAAACATGCTGGGGGTTTCCAAAAAGTCTGATATTTAATATTTTTAATTAGAGAAAAGAAAACGTTAAGCTAAATCATCGGTCACGGTAGCCTAACGGTGGGTCAGAAGAACAATATGAATTGATCGAAGTGTTTCATCGAAAATGCAACCGTGATGACTGGATATTGTCATCAGCCGAGTTAAACAGCCAAAAGAAAACAAACAAGTGGAACAGTATCAAAACTATCATGCACATTCTGGTCCAAACTATTTAACATACACTCATTGAACTGGATACATAAATGTTTCGCTAACTTTACTTTGTTTTTATCAAGCTGTGAGGCACCATTTCGAGTGAAACTGGTCGGGAACAATTTTCTAGAAAATAATTCTGCATAAAATTTGACATTTTTGTTTCTGTTTTTTCTGAAGAATTGCAAAGTCTTTAATCTT